CAGGGAGGCCCTCCCTGTGGGGAAGACGGCCCGAAGTGGTGAGCTTCCAGAGAAGCCCAGTCCGGATGGCAGGGCGAAGCGATCCCGGGAAACGCAGGACACGGTGACGGCGACGGGAGCGTTCTGTTTGAATGGCAGACCAGGAAGAAACCGTGGTCCTTTCGGCAGAATCCACTAAGATGTATTCTTTGCACAAAGCGGAGCTGGGTTTCAGTGACCCTCCTGCCCGGAGTGGGAGGGCACGCTGAAGCATCGCCATGGAAACCATGGAAACGGAGAGCCGCCCCGCTGTCTGGCCTGGCCTCCCACACTCCTGGGTTCCCAGGCCTTCGTGTCTCCTTAGCAGGTTCCCGGTGCCCCCGGGTCAGAAGAGACACCTAGCAGGTCCTTTTGTGAAGCAGCTGCGTCTAGACTGCTTACTAAGGATTTATAACCCGACACGCCAATAGCAGCTTAAAAAAATAATGCCTTTCCACTTTAGGGGAAACATTTTTATTTCATTCGTCAACAGCCACACGTATGAACCTGTTAGGGACTGCATAGCGTCCCAAACTTTGGCATCAGACTGGACCCCTCCACCCTCATTTCTATTTCTTTCTTTTTTATTTTTTTATGTGTTGATTTTAGAGAGAAGGGGTTGTGAGAGGGAGAGAGAGAGATTTATCTTGTTGTTCCTCTTATTTATGCATTCATTGGTTGGTTCTCAGAAGCGCCCTGACCAGGGATTGAACCCGCACAACCTTGGGGTATTGGGATGACCATCTGACCATCCGAGCTCCCTGGCCTGGGCTCATCCCCATTCCTGCGCTGAGCTCCGGATGGCACTTGTGTTTCATCACAGCGACTCGCCCTTCACCGAGAGGCCTGCAGCATGGCCTCGGGTGGAAACAGCCGTCTTGAGCTGAAGGTTTCCACTTTGTTGAACAGATCTCACTTTCTTTGCTTTGAAAATTTAAAATGTGCCGTAATACCCAGTTCAGGTGCTTCTGTGCTGGGGGCTCCTCGGCTCAGGGTCCAGAAACCACAGCCCCGACTTAGGCTCCGAGTTTGGGTCATAACCATCAAAGCCTAGAGCATAGACGTGTATTCATTTTTGTCTTTTTTTTAAAAGATATATTTTTTTGATTTTCTACAGAGAGGAAGGTGAGGGATAGAGAGCTAGAAACATCGATGAGAGAGAAACATTGATCAGTTGCCCCCTGCACACCTCTCACTAGGGATGTGCTGCAGCCAAGGTACATGCCCTTGACCAGAATCAAACCTGGGGCCTTTCAGTCTGCAGACCAACATTCTATCCACTGAGCCAAACCGGTTTCGGCTCATTTGTGTCTTGCTATTCACTCATCCAGGTGCTGGCTTAGCATTCACAGTGTCTGCTCAGTGCTAGGGGCTGGGGCTGGAGCTGAGACCCCCTGGGCTGGCAGGGAGCAGTGAACTCCGCCCAGGGAGCTACAGGCTGTTGGGAGAATTACAAAAGAGGTGCCTTCAGGCAGGGCCAGCCCAGAGAGGGTAGGGAGCTGGGCAGTTCCTGGTTTTGTCTTTGTGGTAGCCATTCAGCCCTAAGCTGCCCTGGGAAGGAGCCAGGGGCCTGGCACAAGCAATGGGCATGCTGTGTCCTAGTGCCACTGTTTACAGAGGCGCGGGTAGCTGGGCCTGGCTGCTGGCCCCCGTTTGTGGAGTCCCTGCAGGGGGTGTAAAATATGGAAGCAGGGGAGGGGGCAGCTGGCCTCCTGGGGAATGCCCAACGCCTGGCACAGGGGCGGTGAGCTCCCCACCTCCTCCCTGGGGGTTCCCGGGTGAATTGAGGACAGTAGGACGGAGGCAGAAAGGGGTGGAGAGGGAATTCTGATCAGAAGGCAAACTATGTGAATATGAGCTCCTGAAGGGATACCGCAGCTTGGACATGGTGCCGGTGTTAATGTGCCCTGGGATGAGATTGGCATGGGAAAGGGAGACACAGGACTTCAGGGCCACTTCTCAGAGTGAAAACTCCAGTGCCATGGGTCATTTCTCGTTTAATTTTTTGGTTAATCCTCCTCATCTGAGGATATTTTTCCATTGATTTTTAGAGAGCATGGGAGGGGGGGAGAGACAGAGAGAGAAACATCCATGTGAGATAGACACATCAGTTGGTTGCCTCCTGCACACGTCCCAACCAGGGCCGGGAATCGAGCCTGCAACCGAGGCATGTGCCCTTGACTGGATTCGAACCCAGGACCCTTCGGTCTGCAGGCTGACGCTCTATCCACTGAGCCACATCAGCGAGGGCTCGTTTCTCATTTTTGTTTTCTGACTCCGTTGGTGGTGGTGGTGGTGGTGGTGGGGGGGGGTTGAGTCACATCCTGGAGCAGCCTTTCGGAGAATGGGTTCCAGGCTAGTGGCTGCCCCTTCGGAGACTCGGCGGGCAGCTGGGTTCGCTGTCTGTGCGGCTCGGTGCCCGCCCTGCTCTCCGGGCATTTGCCTCCTTCGTCGGCTGCTGCAGCCCGGGGCGGCTATCCGGGTCTGAAGATTAGCTCCCGGAATTCTGTAAAAACACACTCTGCTCTACGAGCAAGGCCCGGGTGGGGAGAAAAGCGAATGCTGACAGTGCCGTGGCCAGGAGGGAGCAGACACACATTTCACAGTCCTTTTCCTGGAAACATACCCGGAGGCTCTGTTCCCGTGTCCATCAGCCTCAGATACGTCCACTTGGCAGTTTTGCCCGGCAGAGAAACGAGGTCTGTACAAGCATAGTATGACTGCATCACCTAGGTCAGCGGTCGCCAGCCCTTCGGACCTCACCCACCACCGGGGGTCCACAGGTCACTGGTGTGGCTGGCGACCACTGGCCCAAATGACTTGCTTGGAATGTACTCTGTAGGTGGGATGACAAAGGAAAGTGGGCAGGTCATCCTGCCTGTTCTCAGTTGGCGACCTGCCTTTGATGCTTCTGCTCCTGATAGCCCCCACCCCGATGCCCACTGACCTCCTTGCTGGCGCGGGCCTGTGCCAGGAGTGTGCCCACTGCGTGGGCCCAGCAGGCGTGTGAGGCTGCGGCTCCCCCTGGGAAGTTCCCCTGTGGCCGGAGAAGAGCAGCCTCTGCTGCCCGCCTGCGGCCCAGGGGGAGGGTAAGCGGTTTGCCCTCAGTCTCCCCGCTCCTTAGGGATGGAGCCGGGGTGACACCTGAGTCCCCAGCACCTGCCTTGGGCGGGCCTCCGTGCCTCCACCCCCTGCCCTTGCCACTTTGTGGAACACCCTCCCCCCCCTTTTTTTAATGACTAGGAATGCGTAGTGAGGGGCTGTCTCAATTCAAGGTCATGCTTGGCCAGCCGGCGAATAGGGTGTGTGGTTATTTTTGTCTCCTTCATCCAGTTACTCCCATACAGACCATGTAATTCTATTACATTGTGTTTCAGACGTCCCGTGAGTACATTTTCATTCTGATAAGTCATTACGACGACACTGGGCTGGACTGGAAAGAGGTTCATCCTGAGAATCACTGAACCTTGTCCCCACGTGGGGTCGGCCTCATGTATGTACGGGTTCTGTCTGTTTAAGCAGTTTGGGCCCCATCCTTGCTTTTGGACAGCACTCAGCGGCAGCCACGTGGGGGGCCTTGCCATCTCCTTGGAGAGTGTTTTCTGGATTCTCCCCTCAGGCTCCAGATTCTCCTCTCAGGCTCCAGATTCTCCTCTCAGGCTCCAGATTCTCCTCTCAGGCTCTGGATTCTCCCATCAGGCTCCGGATTCTCCTGTCAGGCTCTGGTGATTTAGATGTTGGATTTCCTTTCCCTTATCAAGTCCCTGTATCTATCTCCTGTGACATTTTCTATTTTTGTCTTCTGTTTCCTCTGAAAGATTGCTCAATGTTTTTATCTGTCTTTGAAAGCATTTTAATATTAAGCAATGTCTTCAACTTGTAAGAGCTATTTTTATTTCTGATTATTCCTTTTTCATGGCATCCTCTCTCTCTTTTTTTTTTTCTTTCTAAAGTCTCTCCCCCACTGCCAGAGTCTGTCCTCCGCGCAGCACCTGGAGGAATATTCTCCAAGTGCACCCCAGATCAGGGTCTCTCCTGGTTAACGCACTCTGGTGACTACTCCTCTGAACCCCGTTAAACTCCAAACCCTGCCCTTGGCCATAACCAGCCCACGTCCCTGCCCTTGGCCATAACCAGCCCACGTCCCTTTGCATCTCCCGGCTCTCAGTCCCTCTTCCTGGGGAGCTTGTCCTTGCCTCAGGGACTTCATACTCGCTGCTGCTTGTCCCCTGAGGTTGTCATGGCGCCTCCGAATCAGTCAGATCTTGCTCATGCTCTCGCTCATGCACACGGACTTACTCTTTCAAAGAGCGAATCAGGAAGGCAAAGCTCTCCTTGTTTAGGTGTGTGTCTTTCCGAATTAGAGTCTGATGAGGTCCTTGAGGGCAGGGCCTCTGTCTAGTTTGGTGCTGTGCCCGGTGCCTGGAGGAGAGCCTGGCCCTTGGGCTGCTGCCCTGGCCCCTCCCTGCCGCCCACCAGGTCAGTCACCGTTTGCAAGCGCCATGTGCTTACGTGTCATAACCAGTGTTTTTATCACATCTGCAAAACCCCTATCCTCCTTTCCCCATTGTTTTTTTACTCTTTAAACTATTTAAATGTATAGGAAATAGAAACTTTACACCACTGTGTCAAAGGAAAACTGATATTACTTGTCATCTATGAGCGACTGTAAAGGTGCATGTAAGCGGAGAGCACGGTGCTCAGTCGTAATCTTGAACTTGAAGCCGGTCGTTTGAAAAGTGACCCTCTAATGGATCTGCGGCGACAGCTGTGCCCGATCACTGATGTCCCCTAAAGCCGGGCCGGCGGGGCCCAGCGTCCCCGGGGATTAGCGTGCCGGGTTTCAGCCGTGGTCCGGCCCGTTCTCCGTGCCCACGGTGGGCACATGCCCGGCGCGAGGCCTGGGCGGGGCGGGGCGGGCAGAGCGCCCTCTGACCTCCTCCTCCTCCTCCCCGTCCAGGGCTGACCGCGCTGGACGGAGGATGGGCCCTGCCTCGTGTCTAGGACGACCGACCCGGATGGCGGCCGGCGAAGGGAGGAGGATGGCCTCACATCTCCGGCGGTTCTTGTCCACGTTTGTGCTCCTGTGTCTGATGGGTCACGCCAGCGGCCAGGGGAAGGGTGAGTGCCTCGGTGTCACCGGGAGCCAGCGGGCTGCCCCGCGGCCCCGTGTCTCCATTGGAACCTCGAGGGTTTGCTGGTGGATCCAACCCATCTCTCGGTCACCTTTTTTTTCTACGTACGTTTGGCTTCTTTTTTAAAAGGCCCTTAAAGCTAGATCTAAGCATTCTTTCCCCATTTCACAAGCTCGGGTGTAATTTACGTTCCATAAAATCCACCCGTTTGGGATCAAGTTCTGCGCTTTTTGAAAAACACATGCATGCAGTCATGTGGCCACCAGCACCAGCGGCAGCACCGGCTCTCCGGAGCTCTCCCAGGCTCCTCCGGGCCAGCCGCTCCCCTCCCACCTCCAGACCGAATACTGTATTTCTCTGCAACATGCTGCGTGTTTTCGTTTCATTTAGCTGCATTAAGAAGGTTTGTTTAGAGGTCACCTAATTTATTTGTATAAAACATTATCCTTCTGCCCCTGGGTTTAGTTCTGATGCTGTTTCCATTTCCCCAAGATCACCATTAAATAGCTTTATTATAATCACTGATACTTTCTAACGTGAGCGCTTATAATGTTTTTGTTTTCTTTTATGCAAACAGCTTTATGGTTTAGCGCTGATGTAAATATCATGCCAGCTCCATGTGAAAACTAGAGAAAAAGGCTTTTTTTTCATAGACGTTTATGTAGAGCAGGGTTCTTTTTCGGCTGGTGTGCCACAGTAATTTTTAAAACATGACTGTTTAGTCAGGGGCACTGACCTCTCTTGCCTTAGATTGTCAACTAAGAAAATGACAGCAGCCTAAACCGGTTTGGCTCACTGGATAGAGCGTCAGCCTGCGGAACTGAGAGGTCCCAGGTTCGATTCCAGCCAAGGGCATGCACCTTGGTTGCGGGCACATCCCCAGTAGGGGGTGTGCAAGAGGCAGCTGATCAATGATTCTCTCTCATCAATGTTTCTCTCTATCCCTCTCCCTTCCTCTCTGTAAAAAAAAAATCAATAAAAAATATATATATTTAAAAAAAATAACAATAGTCAACACACTAGTCATAAGGTCTGAATTAATTAAAATGATACCTATTTTTTTATTTTTTTATTTTTTGTCGAATTGGTGAAAAATGTATTTTTTGCTGTGCTCCAGAATTTTGGTAGTTTATGTGTGCCATGAGATTGCAAAGGTTAAAAATGGCTTATGTAGAGTCTGAGATAGAATATCTTTTATACTTTCATTGCTTTCCCCTCTCCCTCCCCCCTCCCTTCCTTTCCCCCCTTTCATCCTTTCCCTTTCCCCCCCCCCTGGTGCACTCTTTTCTTCACATTTTCCTCTTGGAATGACATTTTCCCATCGCACAGTGCTGACATGTCCCGTGACGTAACGCTGCTTTATAGGCGCAGTGAGTGCTGTTAGATTGCAATCTTCCGGAGGGCTGCTTTGCCATTGTTTAGGCCCGCGTGAACTATATACTTGTCACATGCTTGTGTGAGCTCATTACCGTTTAGGTTTAATGTGTCGATTTAACAGCCTGGAGGTTGGTTATGGAGTTTCCATGTAGGTGGCAGTCTGGTAGCCAGCCGCGAGGCAGGAGTGGCCTGGGAGTGTCGAGAGCCCTGTTTGTGGGAAAGACATAGCTTTTACTTAGAGTTCTTTTTCTCTTTTTTAGCAAATGAGGCTCTTGGAGATAAAAATCCTCCTAGGCCCCCTCTGGTCCCACCACAGACTCCACACAGGCGCTCCCTCTATTTATTGCCGTTGCCGGGAAGTGGGATTTTTGATGGAAGCCTTCCCCCCGCGTGATCAGCAGTTGGCCCGCTTTCATCAGGTTCCTCTGGAGCTGTTTTAAGCCTGAGCTACAAAAAGAAACACAAAAGCAGCCCCCTCCCGGGCCCGCAGGCTCCCCTCCGCACCCAGAGCGGGGGCCCTCTGCCGGCACATACCAATTACAGTTGAACTTGCTTTTTACATGCGGTTCCATCATTAAGCACGGTGTGTGTGTGTGTGTGTGTGGTTTCTGTGTCTGCAGGTGCTCCTCGGGACCTGAAGTGTGTGACCAGCGACTTACAAGCGTGGGACTGTTCGTGGAGAGCGCCCCCGGGAGCAGGCCGAGATGCGCTGTACGACGTTTGCATCAAAAACAGGTAAATGGGACTACCTGGGTCCGCTGACAGCTACCGCCTGCGAGCAAAGGTTCTTTCTCGTCCATTCTGGGAGCATAACAGACCTTGTTCTGTGCGTGTCATGAAGGAAATGTGAAATCGGAGCTCTCTCTTTCCTGCAAACGCTGACTCCTCCATCAGTCGGGATGGAAAGAAAACATCCCATCCCATCCAATCCTATCCCATCCATGGGATTATCTAAATCGGGGGGTGGGGGAGTAGGTGGACCTTTTTCTGGACAAGGGCTATTTAGATATTTTTAACACCGTCTGTGGGCCATGCAAAATTATCGGACTAAAAGTTAGCATGCAGTATTTGGTCAAACATTTAGCCAACTCATCCCTAACGCCTTGGCAGGGCCAGACCCTGTGGTGTGCTGGGACTCCTAAGGCCCATGGGCAGGGTGTTCCCCAGCGCTGGTCTCGGTGATTCCAGAGGATCCCACTGAGCAGCTCCATGTCCCTGGGGGCTGGTGGGCAGTTCCCATGGCGATGGATGTAGATGTGCGGTTACATACTGGGACCCTCAGGCTTTCTCCTCACTTGGTGGGCATTGGTGGAGTGTTGTCCTAAGAGCCAGGGTAACGTATCAGCTTGGATGAGTTTGGTTGTGCTGCAGAAACAGCCCTCCGTTCTGGCGCCTTTCCTCTCTGCTGCGGAAATAAAGGGCGCTTTGGCGCTGTGTCCTGTGCTCTCTTGGGTCCGCTGGTATCTCTGCCGAGTCTCCCCCTCGGCCCAGGCCCAGGGCTGTGGTGACCGGAAGCAGGGAGCACAGCTGGAGGGTTTCCCACAGCCTCCTGGGAGTGGAAGTGATCATGTGACTTCACTTAGCTTTCTCTGCGACTGAAGTCACGTCTGCAGGCCCCGCTTCGAGGGGTGGGGAGTGCCGTCCCACTGCATGTGCACAAGGGGGACCTCAAAGGTGTGAGGAGCCCCCCCTGCAGGCCACAGGGAGAGGGAGTCCGCGCCCCCCAGCAGTTCACAGAGCACGGACCCTAACGGGATGCTGACGGGACTTGTGGGGCAGGGAGCCCCTCTCCAGAGGTGGAGCTGGCATTGTTTGCACTTTCTGTGGGAAACAGCTGGTAAGGGAGACGGAGTGGAAAAAAACGCATGGGATTAACTTTAACCTTTTCAAGGTGTATTTTGTGTTTTGTTTTTCTTTTCCTGTCTGAGTAAGCGTTTGTGGTATGAGCAAGCTATTGATAGCCATCTGACCTCATGGCTGCTTAGCCGGGCTTTGTATCTGGTGGCAGGTGGCAGGTAGCAGGGTAACAGGGTAGTGGGTAGCAGGGTAGCAGGTAACAGGGTAGGGTAACAGGGTAATAGGATAACAGGGTAGCAGGGTAATAGGGTAACAGGGTGGCAGGGTAACGGGTAGGGTAGCAGGGTAGCAGGTTACAGGGTAGCGGGTAGCAGGCGTGGAGTCACATGGCTTCACTTGGGCCTGTTGCTTTAGTTCCTGTGCCTCTGCCCTGTGCTGGCTGTGTTGCTGGTGCCAAAAGAAGCCTCACCCACGAGCTGAGAGGAGGGAGCCCCGCGTTTGAAGTCCTCAGCCTGGAGTGAATGATGTGAACGGGCCCCTGTTAGGTGCTGGGGTGCAGGCAGGGTGTGGGAGCCCCCCAGAGTCCCTTTGCTTGGGTCACATTTTTTATGGGACGTTAGAAATGCGTGTGAATGATGGTGAAAGAAAGGAAACGTGTTTCGTAAAGACCCAAAGGGCCACGGAGCCCCAGGGGAGGCAGTCACTCTGTCGAGAGGGAGTGGGTGGGAAGGAGAAGCATTTTGAAGGCAGAGTTGCCCAGAAAGTTTGCTCAGTGAACCGGGAGCCAAGACAGAGGAGCAGACAAGTTGAGAGCGTGTTTTTGGTTGAGAGCAGCCAGTGTCCTTCCTGAGGTCCGTGGTGGGTGGGAGAGGGGTGTTTAGGGAGGTGGGGGTGTGCAGTGGAAGGTCAGGCCGGGTTTGCAGAGCGTACGGCCGTCCTGGGCCTGGGAGAAATCATCCGTGCTTCCTCCACTTTCTGCTACAACCTGGCAACTTTTCTTCCACCCATAGCGATGCCCTTACCGTTATCCCCCCCTCTTAGCATCCTTACAAGGCAGTATAGCCTGTCGTGATTTTGTGTACAAAAGAGCATCAGATATTTTCTAGTGCCTTTTGTGTTAATCAAGTTTTAATGGGATGTGTTCTGTTCGTTTGACCTGCTGACTAAAATTTGATTTCTTACGTTGCAGGTCCCGTACTTGTTACCAGTTGGGGAAAACAAATACTAAAATCCCAGCGCTTGCACCTGGGCACTATGAAATCACGATAAGCCCTCTGCAGGATTTTGGAAGTTCTATCAGCAGATTCATACTGAGTGAAAAAAATGTGTGTAAGTATTTGAAAAGAACGTGAGTTTGGGAAGTGACTCAGATTTCCCAGTTGTTACCCAAATAGAAACTGCGTCCTCTTCCACCGAACGGAGGACCATAATCGCTTTAAATGGTTGGTTGTTAACACGCAGAGTTTTATTTCCAGTTTTTTCAATATTCTAACCAGTGCTTTCATGAGCATCTCTTGCACATACATGTCTCCGACTTGGTGTGGTGATTTCGATAGGCTGAGGGCCTAGACTTGGGAACGCCGCCTTGAAGGAAATCCCACTTTTTGTGGCTTTTCGTGTCCATGGCCAGTTGTTCTCCAAAAATTCGGAATCTCTTTGTAGTCCCCAAAGCGTCGTCTTGGACAGGGCCTGTTCTCCCAGCTCCTGGCCAGGGCTGGGGATTGTCCGTTGTCGTTTTCCATTTCAATATATTGGCCCCAGATTACAGCTCCGCTGTTTTTGCATTTCTGTGATGGCTATTATTTTTAATTATCAGTCATTTATATTTTTTTTGAACGATTTCTATCCTTTGTAAATTTTCTCATGCTGGAATTATTATGGTTGTTACTTCTGTCCTTTTTTTACAAATACCTTTCCAAGTTTAAAATTCTAACTTTTGTGGTGTTTTTCACACCATGGGTTTTTGTCTTTATGTAAATAGAATTTCTTGCTAGTTCTCTTGATGAGTTTTCTGGTTTTGCTTTCATACCCGATTCAAATCTTTCATCCACGTGGAATTGCTTTGTCGTACTGTACTAGGGATCTCAGTTTTTCCCCAGATTTTTAAAAATCCCCCAGGACTCGGTCTGAGAGCGCCTTTGTGCTGTCTGACCTGCAGCAGATGCTCTGAGTCCTGTCTGTGAAGCTGCTTGAGGGTGACAGAGTCAGGAAGGATGAGGAAGGTACATCAGGGGAGAGTCTAGCTGACTTGTTTGATTGCTTATTTTTTTTGCATATTGGGTAATCTCATGAAAGCATTTTTAATAATGGCTCAACTGTGATTTGAATATTAGATAATAGTATCCCAATACTAAGTATTACTACTACCACTGCTGCTAAGATAGCACTGGTAAGAAATTGAGTGGTACTCCAGCCAGCTTGGCTCAGTGGATAGAGCATCGGCCTATGGACTTAAGGGTCCTGGTTCGATTCCAGTCCAGGGCATATACCCAGGTTGCAGGCTTGATTCCTGGCCCTGGTACAGGTTCATGTAGGAGGCAACCAATCAGAGTCTCTCTCTCTCTCTCTCTCTCTCTCTCTCTCTCTCTCTCTCTCTCTCTCATCGATGTTTCACTCTGTCTTTCTCTAAAAATATGCTCAGGTGATGATTAACAAAACAAAAAAAGAAGAAAGAAAGAAGTTGAAAGGCAGAGTAGATGACCAGGAGAGAGGGGGTTGGAGGCGTCAGCAGGTCCCCGGGCACCAGCCGTGTGCAGGGGAAGCTGGGGGATTAGAGATGGGGGTGCTGGAGGAAGCAGGCCTCTTTGGCCTTTGCCACTGAATAAAAGCAGGCGAAACCAGTTCCCCAGATCTTGAGATGCTTTTAAAAGTGTGCATATCCAGGGAGAACAAGATGTCTAACTTATATATGTGTGTACGTGATTACTTTCTAATTGGCAAGGGCTAGGCTTTGGACAACAAAAAGTCCTTTTAAGCATTTTAATGTCTACGTCTCTTGTAATAACCTGATCGGTCTGAGGCAGCATAAATACTGTGGAGCCTATGAAGGAGCTGGGAAGGGTCCCGACCTCAGATGTCCTGAGGCAAAAAGAACAGGGAGGTTTGGGAGAAAAATGCTCTCGCTTTAAAAAATAAACAAACAGGATTGGTGCAATTTCTTAGCTGAACGGTCCTAGTTTCTAGAAAGCTAGAAGTTGTTCTCAAGTATCTATGTTCCAGGATCATGGGAGCTCAGGGACCTTCCCGTGCATACCGTAGAAAAAGAAGTGAAGGGGTGGGAGGGATGGAGAAAGAGAAAGAGAGAGAGAGAGAGAGAGCCTTTCATTTATAATTGCTGCCCGGAGTTTGAAATACTGGGTGAGACTTGTGTTTTGAAGAGCCGCCCGTTGCCATTTAGGTAAACTGTAAATTGTGTGGGTGTTTCGGGAAGGACAGCACTTGGGTGGATGAATGTCGCCTTAGTAAAATACTCCGCTGCCCCATAACGTTAAAGTCACTGCCTCTTGCTACCGCGGAGTGTTGGAAAGAGCCGCCGTGTTGAAGCTCAGCACCATATGGGCACGCCGGCGCTGGGCTCCCCGCTCTGGGTGCTGAAATGCTCCTTTCTCCCCCTTCACCCCGTTCTCTTTTCCCCACGAACAGGTTTAAGAGTTTGCATCTCATCCTTGAGGACTTATTTTTTTTTTATCAGGGAGAATAGAGTTTAAGAGGAGTTGACTAATGGAAGTACAGTAGGAAAGGTCATTACTTATTTTCCTAAGCGTTATCCCGTTTCCTTTTCGAAGCCCTCATCCCAGACCCTCCGGAGATCCTGCGCTTGTCTGCCAATTTCTCAACTTCCACATTGCACCTGGAGTGGAGTGACAGGGGCTCTGCGTTTCCCCGTATCGCAAACGTCATTTGGGAAATTAAAGTCCTGCGTACAGAGAACATGGAACTCGTAAAATTAGTAAGTCTGAACCGGGTAGATTTTTTTCCTATGGCATTAAAGAGGCTGAGTGCTTTTTAAAATGGCTTTTAAGGTGACATCAGTGAACCTTCGGATTATTAGGGAAGTAGATCAGATGTCTTTTCAGGGTTCATTAAAAACTAATCACTCAGCCCCGGCCGGTGTGGCTCAGTGGTTGAGCGTCAACCCATGAGCCAAGAGGTGGCTGGTTTGATTCCCGGTCAGGGCACATGCCCAGATTGTAAGCTCAGTCCCCCAGAAAGGAGCAGGCAGGAGGCAGCCGATCAATCTTTCTCTCTCATTAATATTTCTCTCTCTCTCTTCCTCATCCTCCCTCCCTCTCTCTCTAAAAATCAGTGTGGAAAAACACCCACTAATAACCCAATGATTAAAATTATGTCAGTCATTATAAAAAGGAAATTAAGGGAGGAACAATCCATAATTCTATCACTTGGGCACAGTGAACATTTTCTTTCTGTATTCCAGTCTAGCCTGTTTTACATGCATGTTTTTACATAAATAAAACAAAAGTGTATGTATAATTTGGTCTATTATTTTATATTTGTCTAATATTAAAACATAAAAAGAAATGTTTTGAAACATTTAGCCATAGTAATTATTGAGAAATGCTGTATAAATATGTATGTTTGAATATATTTTAATATGATCCTTATATTTAGTGTTTTTTTCCTCTTATTTTTTTAAATCCAATTTTAATGGGTTTCCTCATCATCTGTGTTTAGTTTGGTCTTAAGCTAAGGCAGTGGCTCTCAACCTTCCTTATGCCGCGACCCTTTAATACAGCTCCTCATGTTGTGGTGACTCCCAACCGTAAAATTATTTTCGTTGCTACTTCATAACTGTAATTTTGCTACTGTTCATGAATCGTAATGTCAATATTTGTGTTTCCCGATGGTCTTGGGCTCTACAGCAGGGTCGCCTAAGACCCGTCGGAAAACACAGCTAATTCTAAGGGACAGTGAGGAATAGTAGTGAGAAGTTTTGACAGCTGGTAACGTGGTAATTCCCCCTTCTATCCTTTTACTCTTCTTCCTTAGTGGGTTTGAAAGATGCTACTATTTCTTTGCCTGAGTACATAGATGAAATAGTCAAGATCTATAGGCTATTCTGTTTAATAGCTACCTTGTTTTTCCTTTTTGACAATCTAAGTTTTACATTCCTGAAACTGTAGCAGCCACTGTTGTTAGCCTGTCTCTCACGCCTCCAGAATTCCCGACACTGTTGTAAAAGCTCTGTACGTGTTAGTTCTCTGCTCCACACCGCAGGCCCATGAGGGAGGAGGCACTACAAGCATCAGCCCCATTTCATAGATGGAGAGACAGAGTCCCAGAGAGACACTGAGCGGTGGGGCCAGGACTCGAACCCAGGCAGTCTGGGGCCAGAGTCTGCTCAGCCACTGCAATTATTTTACATCACAAGAATATAATTTTTCATCTGTGATGCCTTCCCTTCCTTTTCACCTATCCAGACTGAACCTAGGTTTCAAGGCTCGTGTACAATTCCTGCTCCTTATTTGAAAGCCCATCCTACTTACCTCAGCCTAAGATGTTCTTATTTTTCTGGAATTTTAATGGCAATCCTTGCCTGTCATTGTAATTCACAGCTAGATGTGATATAGCTCTACCCTATTGTCTCAAAATTATTACTCACTTAAAATTACATTACGTAGCTTTTTATTATGCCTTAAGATTTTGTGGGTTCCTACTTCCTGGCTTAGGGTAACTTCTCGAAACCCCCTTTCTCTCATCTGTAAATTGGTGCTGATATTTGCTCGAGTTAATGATAGGATATTTATAAAGCTGCTAACCAATTATTAGCTGTCATTACTTCCTTTGTGGGGTGGATTTTTTAAAAACTAATGTAGGAATGCTAGAATAATAGGGAATCTCTTTGAAGTATAGTGAAATCAAACATGAATGAACAGAAATATTATTCTAAGGTTACATGACTCATTCATAACAGGACTGCAGAGGCAAGGTAGTAATTCTCTACTTTTGAGAGTACATGTGATCTTTGAAGAAAAATCTTAGTATGGGAGACACAGCCAGAAGTAAGAAAATAGAGATCGAACGAGTTCATTTTAAAAAGTGAAATATAAGAGGGTAAAGGAGCCAGATCCATATAAAAGTGACATTTTTTATTTATAATTATGCATTATTAATATCAGAATCCGTTAGAATTGCTTATTATCAGTCATTTAGTGGCAGGTTATAATGCAGTTATTTTAGAATACTTTAAAGATCAAGAACACTGTATATTGATGTTCAACTTGTAAGTATGTTTAGAGTGTTTTTGTTTATAAGTTGCCAGTTTCTGCCACCCTGTCCCGCACAACCATGGAAGCCAGGCGCTGCACCGGCCAGGGCGTGAGCAGACCCATGGGTCACGTGGCACCTTTGCTTCTCCTGTTCGCTCTTCCTTTTTTTTCTGGTTGTGAGCAATATTTTATTATCTCTCAACAATGGAAGATGAGAATTTAGTCCCCTGTCACCTCACATACTTGTGTGCTTGCTTTCATGCCCTATGCCCCCTCTCTCTCTCTTATACACACACATACACACACACACACACACACACACACACACACACAGAGAATTTCTATCTTTTCTCAGTATATTTTTGTTATTTTTGGTAGACCAGTATTTATTTTTTGTATTATAATTATATAAACACTATTTACAACCCAACCAAGTAGTAGATACTATTCTCTCTCTCTTTTTTTTTAGTATAATTTCTTATATTGCCTTTAGTTTCTTGTATCATTTATCTGCTTCATTAACTCAATCCTAAGTTCTCTCCAAAGTGTGTAAATCCCCTGTGAAAATACCCAAGCCTACTATAGTATTCTATCAGTTACATATTTGTGAACAACTCTCTCTGAGTCTCCTCTAAGTTTGTAGATTCAAACGTAGGTGTGCCCATCGCCCATTCAGGGCAGACCGCAGTGTCTTTCGGACGTTCGTGAGGAAGCTGTGGCCCCAGGGTCTCCAAGACCGGCCAGTGGGTTCCTTTACCCTATTATTATTATTTTATTATTATTATTATTATTATTTTAAAATCTTCACCCAAGGATATTTTTGCAATGGTTTTTAGAGAGAATGGAGGGGCGGGGGGGAGACACACAGAGAGAACGCGCCCTGACCAGGGCCCAGCGGGGACGAGCCTGCAGCAGGGCATAGAGTGTGGCGTTGGTGTCCACCTGCAGGAGACCCTCAACACCACCCTGAGCGGCGAGGACACAGTCCTCCGCTGGAGCTGGGCCTCGGACCTGCCCCTGGAGTGCGCCCCTCACTCCGTGGGCCTGCGGCGCTACGTCGACAGCACGCACTTCTCTGGCCGCAAGGAGTGGAGCGACTGGAGCCCCCTGCAGACCGTTTCCGGTGAGCTTCTGTGTGAGGACTGTGCCTCTCCCAGGGCTGGGGTCCCCTGGTCTCAGGGGAAGATGTGGTGGAAGCTCTCATTCCTCTGCATGGGGGTCACTGGGGGGTCTTCCGGGCCCCCCATCCCAGCGTGTTCTCATTCAGAAAGTCTGAGATGGGCATCAGGACTCTGTAATTTTAAAGAACCTTTTGAGTGATTGGAAATGGCCCAGGCTTGAAAATCATTGTGGCAGGTATGGAAGACCATGTAGATGGAAATGAGATCAAGTCTGTATTAAAAAAAAAAAAATACCTCCCCATTTCTCATCCACAGAGCAGACCCCTCTGGGGGACAGTTCTTTTTTTTAAAAAATATATTTTATTGATTTTTTACAGAGAGGAAGGGAGAGAGAGAGAGAGCTAGAAACGTCGCTGAGAGAGAAACATCGACCAGCTGCCTCCTGGGGATGTGCCCACAACTAATGTACATGCCCTTGACCCAAATCGAACCCGGGACCTTTCAGTCCGCAGACCGACGCTCTACCACTGAGCCAAACCAGCTTCGGCTGGGGGACAGTTCTTGCAGAGACATGGGATTCGGCAAATATGCCCCAAATCACCAGCACACGGAATAAGACTCCTGTGCAGGTAGAATGCTGGCAGCACGGGAGAGGCCTGGCAAATTACTGACAGTAAAACAACGTTCTTAAAAAGGCTTCTCCTCGTCGTAGATTCTTCACGTTAGTGACAGTCTGGAGAAATAGGAAGGAAGAACTGGAGCAGGTGGATTACCAAGGGGCATCTGGTTGCCGTTTAGGACAGTGAAGGCGAGGCTAGGTCCCCGGGGTTAGAAGGACCAGGGGGGCAGTGTGCACACCCCGGCCGGTGCGTGTCCTTGGGGAGCAGCGGAGCCAAAGGAGACGGTTAGTGTGGGCAGCTGGGCAGCTGGCGCTGCTTTCCACTGAGGCAGAAAGAGATGAGCACATCAGGCAGGAAAGATCCACTCCGTTCTTCAACACTGAGCTCCAGGGACAGCGGGAGTGTCTGGACAGCAGTGTCTCCTAGGCAGCTGGGAGTGCTGGTTCGCCACCCAGGCGACTGACTGGGTGGAGCAGGAGACAACATCTCTGAAAATCGGAGCATATGTGTGCTGTGAAAAAACGTTTCAATCCCGGAGGTTCCCGGAGCTCAGAGAAAGGGGAACGGAGACCAAGGACCCAAGACCAACACCCTTCGAAGCTTTATGTCTAAGGGGAGCATGGAAGAGAGACCAGCAAGGCACACAGCCGCCAGGAGGGGAGAGGAGCCCAGGAGGGGACAGCCAGGGAAGCCAAGAGCGAAGGGAGTTTCGAGAAGGAGGACACGGGGCAGCGGCCAGATGCTGTGGATATCGCAAGGGAAGATCGCTCCAAAGTGGCCGGTGAGGGAACAGTGCGGCCAGCCGGCCGCTCCCGTGTGGAATGGCTGGGGATAGAGCCTCCTTACGCCTGGGAAAGAGTACGTAGATGGAACGGAGACTGGAGGTCATTTAAAAGAGTGGCTGCTCTGGAGAATGAAAACCAAAGGAGTGGCTGAAGCTGCATAGTGCTGGGATTAGCCGGAAAGTGCTGTTTGGGAGGTGGAGTCTTCAGGCCGATGGAAAGCAGGAAGCCTTTCCTAAATGCATAAGTCAACTCACAGGCAGGGAATTCGGGCCTGAGTGGTGCTTGGTGTTGACTTTTCCCATGTGGATGTACTAGTAAACCCATCTATCAAGCGTTTAGAACTTCTTGGACATGACCCTAGGACCTTAGACCTTGGCCTACAATCCCCTCCGTTCTCCACCACCGCTCCACCATATGTAGATAAAGCCACGCACACTTCATGTCTTGTGTGTGCCTTGCTCCTTTGTATTATAACCTGGAGGACATCCCTTATCTTTGGGACACCGTTATAAAGCTGCCAAAGTATGTGTTGTATGCACGGATCTACATTATGGTGAAAGACTTCTAACATCTTTGTGATTCCTTTTGATCTTTCTAGGGTCTGCTGATATTCAGAATAAGGCTTTTCCTCAAGACAAAGTGGTGCCTGTGGGCTCAGATATAACGTTCTGTTTTGTGACTCAAGAAGAAGTGTCCTCAGCGCAGATCAGCAACACAAAGTATCCCCTTATTCATCTCGATGGGGAAAACGTGGCCATCGAGGTCCATAACATTTCTGTTTCTATAAGCAGTGGAACAAATGTGGTTTTCATGACAAACAAGGACGTGTATGGAACAGTCATTTTTGCAGGATGTAAGTATAAAAAACATTTTTAAAACTGTTTCTCTTCATCCGTTTTGCCCTTTGAGAGCCTTAATACTTTTTCAGGGGCTGGGGTAATTCTATTTCTTGTTTATTTATTTATTTTTACCCTTTAATATAAATGATATAAAAGGCAGCAGAATTTTGACTTGTTTACAGGTGAGATCTAAGTTTATTTTCTACATATGTATCTATATATCTTATAGGTTTTATAATATGAATTTTATTTTAAATTCTCAGGTAATAGGCTCGCTGATTCAAGAGAAGTTAGTATATAACATGTCTGAATCCTTTGTTTAAGTATTATTTCATGCTGAAACCGGTTTGGCTCAGTGGATAGAGCGTCAGCCTGAGGACTGAAAGGTCTCGGGTTCGATTCCAGTCAAGGGCATGTACCTTGGTTGCGGGCATATCCCCAGTAAGGGGTGTACAAGAGGCAGCTGATCAACAATTCTCATCGATGTTTCTAACTCTCCCTCTCTCTTCCTCTCTGTAAAAAATCAATAAAATATATTTTAAAAAAAGAATTATTTCATATAAGTTTAGTTTCCCACCTTATTATAGCATATCTTTTGAAAATAAGCACCCGAATGAAAGAAACTGTAATGATTTTACACAAAATGTTTCAATAGCATGATAATTGCTTCTCCCACTTTAAGAAGAGCATATTTGGGAAGAGAGCAGTTGGGAGACATGGGCGAGAAGACATCCTCCCCATTGTGTGTGTGTCCTGTGTCCCGGAGTGCAGGGTACCTCTCTCTCCGTGTGCTCGCTCCTGCAGATCTATCTCCAAGGCAGTCCGGAATCGCTGTGGGGCTGCCAGATCTATATGGGTGGTGTTGAATGTACACAGATAAGGTTGTCATGAGTTCTCGGTGCCCTCCCCTGCGGTCACTCTGGGCTGGTGCAGAGATAGCTTTGTCACCAGCAGGGATTCTGTCCCCCCACCCCCTCCAGCATTACTGCATGTGGTCTAAGGGTCTCCTGAAAGGAAGTGTGTGAAATCTAGTTAGTGGGTTTCAATTGCTTTGCGATTTTCTTATGCTTTTATTAAAAAAAAAATCTGTGCACTGGTAGGGTTTCTAGGCCTGGCCAGTGGTCAAGGCTGATCTGTGGGGCAATTGGCAGGGTGATTGGGGGGTCCCCCCGTGGGCACCTGCCTTGGCTGGCCTGGGTCCTGTGGACTAGAGGCAACTCCTGCATTGAGTGTCTGCCCCCTGGTGGTCAGTGTGTATCATAGCGACCGGTCCTTCCACCCTTTGGTCGACTTGATTATTAGGCTTTTATTATATAGGATAGATTTCACAGAGGAAGGGGAGGGAAAGAGAGAATCATTGATAGGCTGCCTCCTGCACACCCCACACATGCAATCCAGGCATTTGTCTTGATTGGGAATCAAACCTTGAACTCCTGGATCATAGGTCAATGCTCAACCACTGAGCCACACCTGCCGGGCTCTTAGACTTTTTTCTGATTCTCGGCTGTGCTCCAGATCAGCGGCCCTCCGTCCCTGTCTCACTTCCATAGTCACTTAGGATGAGCTCCCTTCAGTTGCTGATCCACTTCCAAGGGAAGTACTGGGATTAGGTGCACTTCTCAGCTTGTTGGCCGTAACCTTACTCCCTTTTGGCCTCCCCAGTAATGCACTGGAATTCAAGTGAGGGTGAGGTTATGTTCAAATTTAAGTTTCAGAAAATTAGGTTTTCTTTCCCGGTGGTATTTTAGGCTATGACGTGCAGTCTAAGTTGAGAAGCAGTGGTGCACGGAGGGAAGCCGCCCAGGAGCTGATACCAAAAGTGAAATATCCACTTACAAGCATGAAAGAAAAAAATTAAAACGTAAAGGATGAGAATATCCACAGGTGTCACTATTTCAGTGTTCTAATCTTTTATCGGAGTTCTAGAACAGACCCATTAATTTCCTAACTCAACCTTCACTTGTAACATCTGTCGGTGGAAATATCACTCTCTGTTTGTGGACTCAGAAGCAGCTGTAGGCTTTCCCTCTGAAGGGAGCTCTTTAGAAACTTACAATCAGGGCAGTTTATGGTGTGAGGAAGGGATCAAGTTTTGTTTGTTTTCTTTCCCTTATGGGGTTCCTGTTAACCCATAATTTATGGAAAAGACTGGAAAGAATTTTATTTTATTATTTTATTTTTAAAAAAATATATTTTATTGATATTTTATAGAGAGGAAGAGAGAGGGATAGAGAGTTAGATACATCGATGAGAGAGAATCATCCATCAGCTGCCTCCTGCATACTCCCTACTGGGGATGTGCCCGCAACCAAGGTACATGCCCTTGACTGGAATCGAACCCGGGACCTTTCAGTCTGCAGGCCGACGCTCTATCCACTGAGCCAAACCGGTTTGGGCTGGAAAGAATTTTAGAATCAGCTTGTCAGCTTCCCCCTTTCCACACACATTTGTAATAAAAACCGGCCAATATTTTGATTTGGATCACATTAAATCTACCAATTTAGGGAATTTTTCTTTCTTAACAGTATTGAGTCATTCAACCCAAGACCTGGTATAGCCCTCTGTTTAGTTAGGTCTTCTTTAATTTATCTTAGTGGTTAAGAGGCCTCGATTATCTTTTAGTAAATTTACTCCTGTGTTTATGCCAATCAAAAATGGATTTTTTTTTTCTTCTCAAGTTTATCCTTGTAATTGAAAATAAATTTATCATTTCACAGACAGGAGAATAGTTATTTACCGATACGTGTCAGTGTTCACGTAGGAGCTAATTTAGTCATAAGCAGCACAGATCTCCTGTGAACATTATTTGTTCAGTAATCGTTCACATGAGTCATTTTTATCGCAGGAGCTACTTCAGCATTAAATATTGACCTAAATGTCAATCTTTCATTACACATAAGATGTTTTAAAGTAATACACTGTGACCTAGGATTGGAGCGTGCAAATATTTATATCATATGTCAAATTTAATACGCTCTCACTTGAAAACATTTCCATAAACGTGGCTTTGATTTTTAAATTGTTATGTGCTGGTACATAGAAATACAGCTGATTTATACCTAGCTTGCCTAGCTTCAGTGGAATCTTTTGTAAATTAATTTCTATGAAAGGAAAAGAAAAGCCATACGTTAGCTTGTAAATGCTGCCCTCTCGTATTTTTTCTCTTTCTCACTTGGCTTCCACTTATTTCTACTTTGCACCTGTTATTTGGACTTGAAGTATTTCAACTTAATATCTTTGCCAAATAACTAAAAATCATAGGCGATTAAAATATACTAAAAACATTGCTGTCATTTTAATAAAGTGACTGAAAGTTTGGCCTCAGGTTTAAAACAGTTTTCAAACCAAATGTGTCAGTATTAGTTTTGGTGTCAGATTGTTGGGCCTTGATATAAATACCGTTCACTCCTCCCGGCGTTACCTAAAACAGCGGTCGGCAAACTCATCGGTCCACAGAGCCAAATATCAACAGAACAACGATTGAAATTTCTTTGGAGAGCCACAGTTTTTAAACTTAAACTATAATATATAGGTAGGTACATTGTTATTAACTTAATTAGGGTGCTCCTAAGCTGGCCTTTGCTAAAAACTCAAGGGGCCAAAGAGCCGCATGTGGCTCAGTTTGCCGACCACTGACCTAAAACTGTAGAACATTATTCTTATCTCTGGAGCAGGTATTTGAAATTTGCTAAGTCTTGGTTGATAAACTGAGAACTATTTTTAATACTTTGTTGTTTTAAAATAAGATTATTTTACGTAATTTTTCAATAAGTAGGTCATTGTTTTTTTTTTTTGTTTTTTTTTTAAACTTACCTTCCGTGGCAGATAGTTGGGATAAAGTTTTGGGACACCCCATGTTTTGGGTTAAACATCACAGAAATACCAAATTCCAATAATCATCAGACTGCAGAATTTCCCCTTACCACTTCAAACCTCTCGGACACACTCAGCAAAACACCTTTTTCTTTTTTCTGGTCCTTCCTGAACAAAGCCAGAGAGAAAAGTTTCCATAAAGAATGAAAATGCCGGAAGAGCAGTATTCACTTTCACTGTAGGGGATGCAGGATTTTCCTGAGAGTTACTTTGTAAATAATAGTCCTTGGGACTTACTTAACAACTCGAAACTTGTAACCTGACTTAGGTTGACTTTTAATATGACTTGGTACTTCTTTTCAAGCCATATATATGGTGGTCACTAATAGTACGTTTAACCTGTAGATTTTTCTGACTTAACTTATTGGATACACTTCCCTTTGAGAGATTTTATAGACTCCAGTAGTCTTTAAGGGAGGAAAATGATAAGTCTCTCTGTTCGAGTTGCAATTGGGGGATTTTCAAATGAGCTAATAGTCACTCTTCAGTATAATTTAATCTGTCATTTCCTTTTTTAAAATATATTTTTATTGATTTTTTTTACAGGGGGGAAGGGAGAGGGATAGAGAGTTAGAAACATCGATGAGAGAGACACATTGACCAGCTGCCTCTTGCACACCACCTACTGGGGATGTGCCCGCAACTAAGGTACATGTCCTTGACCGGAATCGAACCTGGGACCTGTCAGTCCACAGGCAACAACGCTCTACCCACTGAGCCAAGCCAGTTAGGGCTAATCTGTCATTTCTAATGTAATATGAACTTCAAACAAACATGCTATGGAAAGAACAGTAATTCCTGCATTGTTCGAAAAGTAAAATATAAACAGTACATTATCTCATTTTAAAGAAATGGTATAAAATATAGTTAACACATACGAAACAGAACATTTTCAGGGAGCATGTATGTAAAAATAAGTAAGTACATTTTTTTTTTCTTTTTCCTTTTAGATCCACCTGATATTCCTCAGAAGCTGAACTGTGAGACCTATGACTTAAAGGAGATTATCTGCACGTGGGACCCCGGGAGGCCGACGGCCTTGTTGGGCCCTCGCAGTACCAGTTACACTTTGTTTGAAAGGTAAGCGTCACCGGGAAAAGACGCCAGACTTCAGCACCCAGTCCGTTAGGAGGATGTCACAGGATCCAGCAGAATGCTCTATCTGTTTTATATTATGAGCAGGATAGAAAACCAGAGGCACAGTGTAAAATGGGGTATGCTGCAGCTCAGTGCGCGCAGGCTGGAATGGTCTTTTTCCACACAGCCCGGAAGGAAGAAGCCTCAAACACCAGCAGAGACTGTTTCTCCGTCTCGGGCTTACGGCTGATGATTTTTACCGTATCGTATATACTTTCTTCTCTGAGGATGTAGTATATCTATAATTAGAAATAGAAATACTTTGAAAACATTAATTACTAGAAATTTACCCATTCATTTTTTTTTTCCTGCACCATTTATCTTCTGCCATTTTGATATTTTTAAAAAAATACATTTTTTATTGATTGATTTTAGAGAGTGTGGGGTAGAGAAAGAGAAACCACTGGTTTTATTGTTTCGCTTGTTTATGCATTCATTGGTTGATCTTGTATGTGCCCTGACTGGAGAGTGAACCAGCGGCAACCTTGGGGTATCGGGATGATGCTTCAACCAACTGAGCTACCCATTCAGGTCTTGATATAATTTTAATGTTTCTTATTCCTCTCTTAATTTTCAGTTTTTCTGGAGAATCTGTTGAATTTAAAAGAGTTGTAGCGCCCATAAATGAAACCTATCAGTTATTCTTTCAAGTGCTTCCAAACCAAGAAATATATAATTTTACTTTGAATGCTCTCAATCCTCTGGGTCAATCAGAATCAACGATTTTCATCAACGTGACTGAGAAAGGTAAGCTGCTACACAAACAAGTGTTTTATAATAACTCTAGAAGAGGCAAAATGTCTTGAAATTAATGAAAAGTTCGTCAAGGAGTTACTTTTTACTGATTATTTTCTGTATAATTAGTATTAATCTTGTGAAGGTCATTTTAAAACGTGTAATTTCAAGTTTCACCATTTTGTTGAATCCAGGTAAAATTTTGAATGTCATTTCATTTGCATAGAAACTGTCAGTGGCTTTATCTAATAGTTTTTGATTTATTAAAAAAAAAAAATTTACCCAATTTTTAAAGTTTTTGTTTTGAAATAATGGTAGGTAGTTGCAAAAATATAATAAATTAGAGCCCTATGACCCCTTTCACCTGGCTTTCCTGGGGATAACACCTGATGTTACTGTAGTACAATATCCAAACGAGGCAACTGACCTTGGAACAATACTGCAAACCACACTACCGACTTTGTGCAGGCCCAGTTTTCACCAGTTTTTATATGCATTCCATTGTGTGTGTGTGTGTGTGTGTGTGTGTGTGTGTGTGTGTGTGTTGTGTACATGTATGTGTATAGGTCCATGTGATCAGATTTATGTTTAGATTCACGGAACCGACACATTCAAGACTGCTGTCACCACGAAGGCACTTCCTCATGCTGTCCCCCCCAACACACACACTTCCACAGCCCTGTCCCTGGGGGCCCAGCAGCCCGTCTGGTCTGTTCTTCGTTTCTATTGTGTTGTCATTTTGAGATTGTTATTATGAGTGGAATCGTGCTGTGTATAACCTGTGGAGGTTGGCGTTTTTTTACTAAGGGTAACATTTTGAGATCCATCCAAGGTGTTGTTTGGATCAGTAAATAGTTCACTCCTTTTCACTGCTGAGGACTTCTTAATTTCTTGCCAGTCCTATGAATCTGTAGCGTAAAATAGAGAGAAAACATGGCCCCGCACTTTGCCTTCATTCCCATGGTCATTCCCTGTGCACCAGCCATGCCGGGCTCTGCAGCACGGAGATGGACAGAGGCGGAGAAGGGCTTAAACCCGGTGCCCTGCGGTACGGCCTGGCCGGGGATGGCAGTGGTCCTGCTGCCTGGTTTGTTACACGTAAATCACCTTCATCAATTATCTCCTCTCATCGTCTTTCTCGTTTCCTTATTCTACCTGAGGACACTATGGCTACGTTTTGCCATTTCAACCTTATTCACTACATGACTTCCCCACCCTCAGACTGGTGTGTGCGTTATCCCCAGCATAGCACGCCCGCTGCTCTGCTGTGCCAGGACCCCGACTGGAAATGCCTTCCTGCATTCGTTTTGCCAGCATTAGCCTGATTCTTCTTTCCAGGCTCATCCCCAGTTCAATCTTCACTGTAGGATCCTCCTGGCCATGTTTAAGTTTAGACTAGAAGGCCGGTACACAAAATTCGTGCACGGGAAGAGGGTTCCCTCAGCCAGCTTGCACCCTCTGCAGTCTGGGACGCCCTCGGGGGATGTCCGACTGCTGGTTTAGGCCCGGTCCCTAGGGACTGCCCCAAACCAGCAGTCGGACATCCCTCTCACAATTCGGGACCACTGCCTCATAACTGGCCCCCTCCACCAGCCTGGTTGCCCCTAACTGCCCCCCCCCTGCCAACCTGGTCACCCCTCACTGCCCTCCTCCCCCCACTGACCTAGTCACCCCCAATTGTCCCCCCATCAGCCTAGTCATTCCTCACTGCCTCCCCCTGCCATCCTGGTTGCCCCCAACTGCCCCTCCCCCACGGGCCCAGTTGCCCCACTCTGCCTGTTTTGGTCATCCAATCGGTTGCGATGGTCACTTAGGCTTTTATATATATAGATTCCTGTGGTGCTTAATATGTGTGCCCTACATTTAGAACTTAGCATCTATACTCTTGTTCATTTCCTTTCTTTTGGTTTGTCATCCCCCCAAGTAAGTCAGGGGTTCCTAGCAGATAGAGACTATTCTCTGACCTCCTTTTAGTATTCCTGACACCAGTTCAGGAACCTGAGTGAGGTCGGTTCCTAAAAAATGTTGGCATGTGGGCATATACATTGGCTGCGGGCACATCCCCGGTAGGGGAAGTGCAGGAGGCGGCTGGTCGATGTATCTCTCTCATCAACGTTTCTGGCTCTCTATCTCTCTCCCTTCCTCTCTGTAAAAAATCAATAAAAAATATATTCCAAAAAAAAAAAATGTTGGCACGTTGTTGGCAGTGAAGCGAGGTTTGTGTTATTTCACAAACACTGAGGAGAATATTGTTGTTCTGCACTAACAATCCCTCTCCTGGTCTTCACTTCCCTTGATTCTCATTTGTCATATTAGAAAATTGCTGTTAAAGTAATGAATTTCTAAAAATTATATTTACAGTTTGCCCGCATACGCCTACTTCAATCAGAGTGAAGGATATTAATTCAACAGCTGTTATACTTTCCTGGCACTTACCAGGCAGCTTTGCAAAGATTAAGCTGTTATGTCAAGTTGAAATTAACAAAGCTAATTCAGTACGGGAATTGGTGAGTAAGACTTCCTTAGAGGTTATGATTGATAAAATGCTTAGTCTTCAAAAAGAGTAAACTTACATGCGTAAGCTCTGATTACCGATTACAGAGATTTACTAAGAACCGTGGTATTACAGATGCGAGTAATGACAGCATTGTATGTGGCACTTGGAAACAACTATAATACTGGCTGCTCCGGAGCATAAGTCTGACTTCTCCTCAGTTGGTTTCCGGGTCTAGTATAGCACCTAGCATGTAGCTGGTGCTCAACAAATCTGTGAATTAGCGGGTGGCTTCTGCCGTAACCTCAAGCCTCAGATAATGGACTAATTGGCACCGGAGAGAAGATGTGATTTTAAAACCGCTAAGTGCAGCTGCAGGAGCAAGTTATAATTGGTTATTATAAGTCAAAACATGACTTCTTAATACATTTTAAATACTTAGGTTGACTTTTATACAGCACCATCTTGTAATTGGTGGTACGTCCAAAATAAATGATGCCGTACTTAAAAATTCATTTGGAAACTTGCTAATGGTTTCTGCACTGTCTTCAGTCGCACTGCGCGCTGGAACTCTGAGAGCTCCTTTGGAGTGAGTAACCGGGAGATCATGAGGCCTCTCCCGGGGTATGCAAATCCTCAGATTTGTTTTGGATGGCTTCCTTTTAATTTCATTCCGTTTAAATATTTGTTGAACAGTCTGCGCGTTGAGCAGCAGACTAGAGGTGCTAAGCGCCACATTGGAAAACGGGGTTAAGCGGAAGCCTGCTTCCAGGAAGCTGCAAACACCACCTGAGTGACACCTGCAACCCTCAAGGTCCCCTCATGTCGCCCAAGGACAGGGAGGTTTACTGCATTGCCACTAGCCGTCAATTTGCCGAACTTATATGCCCCTCTCTGCGTAACTTAACTGGCCGTTATTCATTAGGTTCAATGTTTGGATAAAAGCCACCTCCGTTTTTGTTTATTGCTGTTGCAGAGTTCAATTTCACTGATTTGGCATTTATAATATCTACGAATTACCATATGATAGGGGATGATCTTAGAGAGGCAAACTCATGTGGCTGTTCGGTCAATTGGTTACACATTTGGGAGGCTTTCTTATTTTTAAAAAGTATGTGTATGTGTGTGTGTGTGTATTCATACACATGTGATGTTTCATGTGCACATATTGTTTGTTTTCTAACAGCGGAATGTCACAATCAAAGGAGTAGACAATTCAAATTACCTCATCGCCGTGGACAAGTTAAGTCCGTACACCGTGTATGCTTTCCGGATTCGTTGTTCTAGTGAAACTTTCTGGAAATGGAGCAAATGGAGCAGTGAAAAACAATATTTAACCACAGAAGCCGGTAAGTGAACACAGTGATTTGTGGTTAATTATTATTATTATGGATCCTGACATGCCACAACTGCCTCTAGAGAAAAATGTCACCACGGTGACTGAACACAGGAGAGTGGGTAGATAAATTGCGTACTTACCTGATGCCTGCTGGTAAAACCTCATGCAGACGTTTTGAATGATGGGCTGCAAGGTTTCCGGATGCCATGGGCAGTGCTGGGCACGTGCCATGTGCGAGGACGAGGCCACCCTCCCTGCAAATCATGTCTGTGTTAAGGTGATGGGTACAAGGCCACCCTTGGAACTGTGGGGAGATCGTGGCGAGACTTTTCTCATACGCTTTCCTCCTTTTCACGATCCAGATTGTCTTTCTTAGCAAAAACAAGTGTCAGTGGAGGGAATTGGGTGGAATTTTTGTTTCTGGCCGAGGCCTGAGAAATGGCTGGGGCTAAGGTCTCAAACTTTCATTTCCACCGTTAGACCTAGAGCAAAATAGCTGTGCAGTCAGGTAACTGGTTTTCTGACTACAATCCCCAAAGACAGAGTAAGACTCAACCCTGAACCCTGGCTCTAAAACAGAAAGTAGAAGTAGGTGTGGTTTTTAGGAATCGTTCCTCAAAAGACAGCACAGTCTTTATTTGCATTTTGTGATAGAGGAGATAGTAAAACTCCTCCCAAGTGGAACAAACAAACAGGATGACAAAAAGTGACGGTGGTTCATCGGATGCCGTGTCTCCCCATGAAGACTGAGAGAGGAGAGGGTTTGCAGTGCGTGTCCGAGTGACTTGGATCATCAGAAACGAGTCCTGTGCATGAGTCCAGAGAATCATTGCTCTGGGGTCAGTTACCCACAGCTCTCGCTCAAAGCAGCAAACATGTCCTGTCTCTCGGCGAGTGTCCCGCTCAGAGACTCAGGAGCAGCTTAGCCGAGAATCTCTCCTGAGACCACGCAGTGTGGGGGGGTGGCCTCGGGCTTGATTTGGGCCGGAGGGTCTGCTTCCAGGCGGTTCTCTCCCAGGGCTGTGGGCAGGAGCCTCCGTGCCCCCCACGGGGCTGCTGGTGTCCTCAGAGAGTGGCAGCCGCTGCCCTGGACATAGCGGTCCCAGAGAGAACAGGGCCGCCTCCACAGCCTCCTCCTGGCCTGGCCTCAGAAGGGACAGACCCTCACGTCTGCCCGTCCCTGCTGGTCACACAAGCCAACCTTGATAAGGTGCAGGAGGGACCCACAGGGGCAGGCACCGCACCCACAGGTGCTTTGCCTTCGGTTGATGAGCCTTGGTTGCAGGCGAAAGGGAAGGAGCCTTTTGATTATGCCTCATTGAGGTGAAGCCACTCATCGCATGACAAATACCACGTGTCAAGAATCGCTCTGGTCTCCAGGGACAGAGCAGCAATTGACCATGGAATGCAGAGGCTAGAGGATTTGAAATCATTGTTTTTATTATGTGTCTGTATGCCGGGTGGTAGTGAGTGCCACAGAGAAAAAGGAAACCTAGGAAGGGGGCGGGGAGTGCAGATGGGGTGGGGGTGGGGGTGGGTTGCAATCTGAAACAGGGTGGCTGGGCAGGACCTCGGAACAAGGCGGCCCTGGGTGAGTGAGCCAGCTAGACAGTTTCTCAGGGGAAGGGGGTTCGGGCAGAAGAAGGGAGGGCGAGAAAGTCAGGGGGGCAGCCCGGGCAGGCGGCCTCCGCAGGTCTGAGGAGCAGCCAGGAAGCCAGGGTGTGGCCACGGCCCAGAGGGGGACCTATCGGGCACTCCCAGCCTTGAGGGGGGTGTTACCATGCTAAGGGCCAGGTGTTTTGCAGGCATTGAGAGCATTTCTTTCCTCATTTTCTAAGTGGAAGCCACTGAGGAGTGCTCCCCATTCTTTTTTTTTTTCTTTATTAAGTTATTACATACCTATCCTCATCCCCCATGAGCCCCCATTCCCCCTCCACCCCACTCATGGCCTCACCCCGCTGTTGTCTGTGTATCTTGGTTAGGCTTATATGCATGCACACAAGTCCTTTGGTTGATCTCTCCCCCTTACTCCCACCCTCCCCTACCTTCCCTCTGAGGTTTGATGGTCTGATCGATGCTTCTCTGTCCCTGGATCTGTTTTTGTTCATCAGTTTGTGGTGTTCATTGTATTCCATACATGAGTGAGATCATGTGATATTTCTCTTTCTCCAACTGGCTTATCTCCTATTGAGAATTCCAGAAGCCTAGAAACAAACTGCAAGCACCACCATCTCAGTCATGGACGTCGACTGACGGAGTAGATCCTCACGTACTAACTTTTCCGTCTCTTTCCCAGTTCCTTCCAAGGGACCGGACACTTGGAGGGAGTGGCGCTCCGACGGGAAGAATTTAATAATATATTGGAAGGTAACTGTCTCATGTTTCCCTGAATATTTATGTGACTTGGTTATGGTTAACCACCTGACTTATAGGGTCCTGGGGCATCGGGGAGCCAGGATTCCTCAGACCTGCACAACTGCTGAGAACGTACCCGGGCTCCTGGCCCCCCGACTCCTCCTCGCTGCTGCACCCCGCCACTTCAGTGAGGGTCTCAGATTGCAGCATTCTGTGCTGTGACTTTACGAGGCCTGCAAAAGGCCTGCAGGTTTCATGGGTTCAGTCCCTCTCACGTTAGTCAGAAACAAAGCCAGACGCAACGAGGTAGAGCCCTAACTATTTGTGTTGCCTCTTCTTTTCTTTGGTGAGTAGGAAATCAATATTTATAAAATAGATGTTATATGTAATTTGTTTCCCTTAAATAAATCATAGTAATGACTAGTTTTGTAAAATTAGTTTTGTAAAATTTTAGATAAAATACGAATTGCATTATATTTTAGTGTTTTTTCCCCTTCTGGTGGAATGAACATTCCTGTTGCTATAGTTTTTATCTGATTTATGAACATTAAAAACACAGTTGTTTTCTACATCAGGTTTCATAATCGGATTCCTTTCAGTAGTGAATTTTGTTCACTGTGGAAAGGAAAAAGATTATTTTTGCAAAACTCTGACATTACTGTGGCTTTGAGGGGTGAGGCCTGAGCGTAGAAGTGCCATTATTCGGCAGTCGCCTGGATGGGACTCGCATCCCCTTAGCCACCGAGGCGGCCTGTCAGGCCTCACAGGAATGGTATGATTGCCCCAGTTCCTCCCATGTGGGGGAAGTTCGGATATTGTTCAAACCAGATGACTGTTTAACCGAGGATTAACAGTGTTGAAGTGATTCAGACTAACTGCAGCCACGAGGTTTAATTGTTCTGCCATATTTGGGTAGACATTACGTTGTTTGGGACATGTTGAGGTTTGTAAACATGTGTCACTGGGATGTCCAAGGCGAGCCCAGTGGGTGGTGGTTTGAAGTAAGGCTCTGAGCTCAAGGAGAGATGGGAGCTGGAGACAGCTTGTGGCATGCGGGGCGGGAGGTGGGGAGCAGGGGGCAGAAAAATAACACAGTAGTTAATAAACAACAGTACAAGAACCCCGTATAAGCGGAATCCCTGGTGAGGTATGCAGGTGGGAAGGGGTGGGGTGGGACCCGGGGAGGTGGCAGCGAATATAGCATGTACCCCTCTTAAAATGAGAAAACAGTGCATGTGGTAAAAAGCTATGATGCCATACTTGTTAATGTTTTGCTTTTATATAGAGCAGTGCTTCTTGGAACTTAGTGGTTGGCTTCTGAGAAACGTGAGATTAAATAGTTTTGGGTTTTTTTTGTTTGTTTTTTTTTTAAATATCTACACTAATAAAAGAGAAAGATACAAATTGACTGTACCTTCGCAACGCCCACCAGCCAATCAGGAGTGAGTGTGCAAATTAACCCAACAAAGATAGGTTAATTTGCATATGCAGGCACTGAGCTGCGGGGAGCGGTCTGCACCACTCCAGCTGGTCCCAGCCTCTGTGCAGTGTGGGAAGGCGGAAAGGTGGCTTTGGCCAGAGCGATGGCAGTGCAGGCATCCAGGGGAAGGAAGACCCTTTCTTGCACGGATCTTCGTGCATTGGGCCTCCAGTAGTTTTATTGATTTCAGAGAGGAAGGGAGAAGGATTAACCTATCTTTGTTGGGTTATTTTGCACACTCACTCACTTTTGATTGGCTGATGAGCGTTGCAAAGGTACAGTCAATTTGTATCTTTCTCTTTTATTAATGTAGATATCTAAAAAAAAAAAACCCGCAGCCCAGACATATGTCCTGACCAGGAATTGACCTGCTGCTTCATAGGTCCACACTCAACCCCTGAGCCACCCTGGCCAGGCTAAATATTGTTTTTTGTGTACTCAGTTCTTACAGTTTTGTGTGCTCGTACTGCTCACAGTGCTCATCATTCTCCTTCAGTCTCGCCTTCTTGGTTTGCCCAGGCCTTCGGGGATTTTATACCATTTGTGACAGCATCCTCTTTTCTCACGTTATCTTGCCATGAGGGTGTAGTGTTCAGGCTGGGCTCGATGGTCAGTTTTGCAGGGCTTTGTCATAAATTACTTGCTGTTTTTTTTTTCATAGCCCTTACCCATGAATGAAGCCAACGGGAAAATACTCTTCTATAACGTATCCTGTTCATCAGAGGAGAAAACACAGTCCCTGTCCGAGATCCCTGACCCTCAGCACAAGGCAGAAATCCAACTGGACAAGCATGACTACATCATCAGTGTGGTGGCCAAAAACTCTGTGGGCTCCTCGCCGCCTTCCAGGATAGCCAGCATGGAGATTCCCAACAGTGAGTGCGGAGGGAGCGTGGGGTGGAGTTTTTGGAAGAAGTGGCTTGCTCTCGTCCTGCTGCTGGTATACAAGGAGGGACAGGCGGGAACACTGCCCACTGAGACCCCAGTGGTGAGTCTCCCCTGGATGCCTTTGCGGACGGACAGAGAACCCTGGTGCCTGTGACTCTAACGCATCATGTTGGAGGGTGACAGCCGTGGGTGTTACTCTTCGGAAGAACGCTGTAACAGTTTATTCAGATACCGTTGTTATCTACCTCCCCAGCACCACGGGAGTTCATTCTTATGTCAGCTAGGCTGTTTCCTGCCAGGCAGGAAAAGATAATCAGTGTAAATATGTTTTTATTGTCTTCAGAGAGAGAGGAAGGGAGAGGGAGAGATGGAACCATCGATGAGAAACATCAGTCGGCTGCCTCCTGCTCACCCCCGACTGGGGACTGTGCCTGAAACCCGGGCATGTGCGCGGCTGGGAGTCGAACCTTCTTGGTGCATGGGCCAAAGCTCAACCACTGAGCAACACCAGCCAAGCAAAAGATATTCAGTTTTTAAATGGCAGCTTTGTTGATAAGACATTCTTTTCTTAGAAATCCCTTATTGATAAGTTCTTCTTAGAGTCTAAATCAGACCTTCAGTATAAACTTACTTAGAAAAGTTGGTGTAATTTTTAAATTGCTTGACGCCTTCTTTTAAGTTTTATGGGTTCGCAGAGAGTGGGCCATTCCTTCTCAGACACCTCGACAGTTCCTGAGTGGGGAGTCCACATACCATGTCACCTCTGCTTGGGATCAGCCCCTCTTCTGGATTACCCCACCCCCCGCTGTTCAGCTCCAACATGGGGCATCTTTCTCTGACCACCCAGTCCTAAAGGAAGACACACTGGTCCAGGCAGGGCCCTCTAACTATCTTTTCCATTCTGCCTGCAGGCAGTCTTATCACTTGTTACCGAACTGGGTTCTGTGTTAGAGGGGATCGCTAGGGAATCAGAAGGAGGGAGAGGGGAGCAAAGCACATTTCAGAAACACAAAATATCCACCAGCGCCAGTGTCGGTGCCCACCTGGTTGTTCTCACCTGCCTGTGCCCCTTACATCCTTATCCGTAACGCCAGCAAAACGCACTCCTTTCTCGTTGAAGATGACCTCAGAGTAGAGCAGACCATCGGAACGGGCAACGGGGTCCTCCTCACGTGGAGCTACGACCCCAACATGACCTGCGACTACGTCATCAAGTGGTGCAACGCATCCCAGCCGCAGCCCTGCCTCATGGACTGGAAGAAGGTCCCCGCCCACAGCACCGAGGCCCTCATCCAGTCGGGTGCGTGCTCCCAGGGCTCCCCGGGGGCAGGGTCGGGGAGCAGCCGGCGGGGCGGCTGGGGCGGTGCAGGGACCGGACTCCCTCCCTGCTGGGCAGGCGTGGGCCGGCCAGCTTTTCCGGAAGGTGCTCTGGGGCATGTGTGTGTGAGAGGTTCCAGATCCCTCCATCTAGGAATTACGTGTCTAGGAGTTTATTCTAAGAGATAGAGAGCAGCTCAGATGCACAGCTGAGCATGCTCACCACGACGCTATCTATCATCGTCCGCGTTGAACACAGCAAGTAGGGGAAGGAGCCAGTCCTGGCACTTGTATGAAGCAGCCCTGAAGCGTGTGTGGAAGGTTTACAACATGGAAGATGCTCACAGAGGAGGCTACAGAACTACCTACCATATAAGGAGTGGGGCCGCCTGCAATGTTTGCCCAGGGCCCCAGTACCAGGGTCAGGAAGATGCTGAGCACCAACGCCCTGCACCCACATGACCACTTTGCCTGACGTTCATCAAGGGCACTGGGCGTGGCAGCAGGCACAGTGGGCGGGGTCAGCTCCCTGATGGCTAACGGCCCCGAGCCCCTGGTGAGCTGCCCTTGAGGCCCTGCGGCCTGGATTAGCCCCGGGGGCACTTGGGAACCTGCAGGCTGTGCCAGCCTTGCCCTTGGGAATGAGTGCCCTCTTTCCACCCGCACTGTCCTTCCGAGCAGCTGACCAGTGCGGTGTCTCTGCCCGCGGGGCCTGGATCCTGCAGCCGGCCGTGGAGCCGTTCTTCCCCCACGGCTGGCCCTCCCCTGCTCGTATGGTTCGAGAGCAGGCAGTGCTGGCTCTTCCCCCTCGTTCCCTCTGTCCCTGTCAGATGGTGGGGATGAGACTCCTTTGTTAGAGGACCACGTGTGGGGTCTGACCATGTTCCAGGTCTGCTTGGAAGGCAGCCAAGCTGCTTCCGGTGCAAAATTGGCCAGGGCAATTATTATCCTTTCTCCCCGCACCTTCTTGCACCTCCCAGCGTGCTGACTGCAGCTACCCCTTTCCTTGGCCTCTCCTTGCATTTCCCCCACAGGCAGCTCTGAGGTGCGCTCCCCTCCACGTCCTCACCTGGGCCTGGAGGGTTCTCGGGAGGGATTGGGAGGAGGTGGTAGGGGAGAGGCGGGAGTGGGGGTGATTAATATGGAGAGGCACCGCCTTAGATGCTGTATCTGGACGGAAAGTTGAAGCTGATGCCCGTGGGGTGAGGAGCACCTTCCAGCCATGAGGCAGAGGAGCCAAGGCCCTCCTGGGTAGAGAGAAGTTAGGTCACTTGCCCAAGGTCACCCAAGGCGGATTCAGTCTGCCGTTGCCTGGTTTTAAGGAACAAAATCAAAGCCTTGGTCACCATTTTTCCCCTCTTCAAGGGGATGTGCTATTGGGCTGAAGTGTTCATTACAGTAAACGTGGATTTGTTTTGTCAGTTTCCACTCTGAACATTTCCCATTTTGAAAATATGGACGTAAAACTTTTGTAACAGAAAAGCGTGTGTTGAAAACGTGCTGTGGCCGTCTCAGAGGGAGCTGCTCTAGGCTGGTGGGTGACACAGACACTCACAGCCGCTGTGTCCCCCCCGCAGATCAGTTCCGCCCCGGCGTGCGGTACCACTTCTTCCTGTACGGCTGCCGGGACCGCGGCTACCAGCTGCTGCGCTCCGTCATTGGTTACGTAGAGGAGCTGGGTGAGTTACGTGGGGACGCTTTCCTAGAGATCAGGGTCACAGGAATTGGCAGCAGTTGGATTCTAAACGTAGATTAAATGGGGATGTTGAGTTCAGGAAGGGAAAAATGATGTGTGTGACACATTTTAAAATTATTTATGGCTACTTATTCTTACTTCATTTAATGTCTGTATTTCACAAATTTATTGTCATTGAAAAATAATCTTATTTCAAAAATACTTCATTGGTAGTTCACACAAATTTGAACAGCTGTTAACTAATGCCAGACCGTCAATAAAGAGTGGGGAAATGCAAATGGGATCCATTTGAGTAGCCACTTAGAGATTTTGTGTAGATTGCTGCCCTCCATAGCAAGTTCTGCCTTTGCATGTTTGGTTGCTAGCTTCACAGCCAAAGTGTGTGTAGTAATATCTGTACGTCTGTGATTACATAGGAGTTAAGCTTTGCATTTGAAGTGTAGCTCTTTTTTAAGAAATATATTTTTATTGATTTCAGAGAGGAAGACAGAGAGAGAGAGAAACATCAGTGGTGAGAGAGAACCAGTGATCGGCTGCCTCCTGCACGCCCCTTCCTGGGGATTGAGCCCACAACCCAGGCGTGTGCCCTTGAGAGAATCGAACTCGGGACCCTCAGTCCACAGGCCGACACACTATCCACTGAGCCAAACTGGCTAGGGCTAGCTTAGCTCTTTTGGAGGCTAGAAACTCATTAACTGTTGATGTGTTACTCTGCGTCAGTGAACTCTCCCTCAGCTGTTGACCATTTGCCTTTTCCAGCTCCAACCGTTGCACCAAATTTCACTGTGGAGGACACATCTGCAGACTCCATCCTCGTGAAGTGGGAAGACATACCCGTGGAGGAGCTCAGAGGCTTCCTGAGAGGCTACGTGTTCTACTTTGAAAAGGGAGAGAGAGACACCTCGAAGATGCGAGGTCTGGAATCAGGTAAGTGAGTCGCTCAGGTGACAGCAATGCTTCCCAGAGGCTCTTGTTCACCACAAACGGAGGAGGAAGGAAGTGCTACTCCTTGCTTTCATGCTGGTTTCCAAAACTGAAAAACGGGAAGTGAAAATGCAGTCATGTTATGAATAGGAGGATTTTAATGTCGGAGGTACATGTCTTTCAGAAATTATTCAAGGTATTTATTCAGAAGCCTTGGAATCTAAGACCCCTCTCTTACTAGTCTGGCTTGACCCATACCATAGCATCTTATGAAGGTTACTTAAACACACACACACACACACACACACACACACACAAATAGTCTTCCTGAACTTATAATAATGGAGGAGGAAGACTCAGGAACCCAACGAATAGCTTCAGAGCCTCCTTTGTTTTCTGACAAAAGCATCCTCACAGCCACGGCCACAAAGAAATGAGAAACTTCATTGCCTGGGGACAAGTGTACCCATTAGATCCTTGGTTGGCAGACTGCGGCTCTCGATCCACATGCGGCTCTTTGGCCCCTTGAGTGTGGCTCTTTCACAAAATACCACGGCCTGGGCGAGTCTATTTTGAAGAAGTGACGTTAGAAGAAGTTTAAGTTTAAAAACTTGGCTCTCAAAAGAAATTTCAATCTTTGTGCTGTGGATCTTTGGCTCTGCTGACTAATGAGTTTGCCGACCACTGTGTTAGATCTTAAACATACAGCCAACCCCTGACACCTGTAAGTGCATGCCCAAAGAGTTCAGAGAACTCGGAGCTCCCAGGTTTGCAGCTACAGAAATGCTGATGGAGGCTTCTGGCTTTTCCCTACGTTGCGTTTCTGTGGGAGCCAGATGCTCCTTATCTGCAGCCGCATTACCCAAGCATGTCATCTGTCAGTCAGGAGGGCGTTCATTTCCCTGGCGACCTCTTCCCGGAAAGAATCCACTCTGGTTACTCAGTGCCGGTCTCACAGGTAGAGAAGGGCATCCGTGTGGAGATCCTGACGAGTCCCTCCCCCAGAGCAGCTGCGTTAACTGCACCTCCCAGTCGCCGAGCCTGCATTTCCTGAGCCTTCCGAGTGGCCTGTGCGGGAGGGAACCCCTACTTACCAAGTTCCACTGAGAACAGAGTCTGCTGTAACTGTCCTCAGATGCTCAGACGTTTTACACTGGAGCCAGTTAAGATTCTAGCCTCTAGACTCCCAGTGTGACCTGGTGAATTGGTCAGTAAAATTAGAGTGAGTCAGGAAAAACACACAACAACGACGCATAAATCCACAGAGACCAAGAGAACTAGAGGGATGGGAGTGTGCCAGGAAAGAGGGTTTGGACATTAGGGGGCTGTTGGGATCCAGGGGGCAGTCAGCGTCACTGAGAAATCATTGGATTCATCCGGAGGGACCAGCATCAGAGCGAATGTCAGGATGGACCTGGACTGGACACCGGGGGCAACATGTGTGAGAACTTCCCATGGCCTCGCCATCAAGGCCTGATACTCCGTTTCCTGGCTGGAGACGCTCAGGTCCAGGGCTTTAAATAAAAGGTCCAGCTCACGTGGCTGCTCGGCGGCAGAGGCGGAGCGTGGCCGTGGCTCTGGCCGGCTCCCCAGTCCGGGGCCTGCAGATGGGCAGCTGCTGGACGCCCCTCCCAGGAACACAGGTGTGAAAGCCATGGTGACCACATGTTTAAAATGCACAGAGATGATCTGGTCCTCTTCACCTTAAAAACAGGTCGCTCCGACGTGAAAGTGAAGAACATCACTGACCTCTCCCAGAAGACACTGCGCATCGCCGACCTCCAGGGCAAGACCAGCTACCACCTGGTCCTGCGAGCCTACACCAACGGCGGCCTGGGCCCCGAGAAGGGCATGTTCGTGGTGACCAAGGAGAACTGTGAGTTTCAGGGGCCGCGGAGCTGCTTCCCACACTCCGGGGCACGGTGTCTCTAGCGACCTGTTTAGGGGTCCCCCTTCCTAAGGACCCCGTCTGATTGCATTTTTCCTGCGGGTACACGGCAGGGGGAAAGGGCCCTGAGAGGACTTTGCATTTATTCTCGTGAGTTTCTTTGGAGGTCACACACTCGCTTACGTGTACATGACTGCGAGCTTGTGGTTCTCAGCTGGGGCATTGTGCCTCCTCGGGGACAGCCGGCAGTGTCTGCTGGCGCTTCGGAGAGCTAGGGGTGAGGACTCTAAAGTTGCTGCTAACCTTCCTGCATGTACACAGCTGCCTCCCCCCGACACCCACACACACACACACACACACAGTGAAGGATACGGACCCGCAGTACCAATAGGGCCGGATTGAGAAACCCTGCTCGGAAGCGCAGAAGTGGGAGGGTAGGAACTGTTGACTCACCCAAAGGTTATACTTGAACAGCTCCAGTGTTCCTGGAGCAGGCGGGACTTTTTTCTTCTCCGCTACCCACTTAACTGTGTTCTGATGTGAATGTATCCTGTACTCCATCCCGCAAGTGGGGCTTTTCACATTGGCAACATTCTCTTTCCAGCCGTGGGGTTAATCATCGCCATCCTCATCCCCGTGGCCGTGGCGGTCCTTGTGGGGCTGGTGACCAGCGTCCTCTGTTACCGGAAGCGAGAATGGTAATGGTACCTGCGTTTGCTTTTGCTCTTCTGCTTAGTTTATGTTTAACAAATAAGTACTTTTTTTTTTTTTTCCCGGTTGAAGCTTATTTCTTTAGTAAAAAGAAATACTTGTTTTAGTCAGGGTTAATGTTGGATCCAAGGTTGGGCAAGCGTTTGGCATACTATTTAAAGGTTTAAAGATTAATAAAGTAAAAGTACCAATGTTTCCCCTGCTGTACTTCCTGATTGAAGGATCTTCCAAACCCTACGGGATCTCTCCAGCTCCGGCCGGCTTCTCTGTACTTCCTAATAACTTAAAGGAATAGTATTTGTACTCAAAAGAAATCTGCACGCTTAAATATAACAGTAGCTTTATGCAAGATTAAATGTAGTTTAATGATTGAGCTCTCACTTGTCTAGTGATGTATTTAGAAAATTGGGTCATTTATTCGCTTAGCCAACAGACATGGATGCCCCTCCCCTGTGAGGATGGAAATGGTGGTAAACTAAGTAAATGGACAGACTTAAAGCCCATAACCACCCAGCAGATTGATGCCCACAGAGGGCGGGTACAGCAGGGTGGTGGGCGCCCTGAGAACAGCAGGAGGACCCGGGCACTGCGGGTGGTTGCCAAGGCGACCTATGGGGTTCCATCTGGCAGAGTCCCAAAGTATGCTCCTGGCAGAGAATATGGCTTCTCTGAGCACCCGGGAATTAGGAAGATGTTGGCCATCTGGAGAAAGTGAGAACTATGTGTCTGGGTCGCAAACTCATTAGTCAACAGAGCCAAATATCAACAGGACAACGATTGACATTTCTTTTGAGAGCCAAAGTTTTTCAACTTCTTCTAACGCCACTTCTTCAACATAGACTCGCCCAGGCCATGGTAGTTTGTGGAAGAGCCACACCCAAGGGGCCAAAGAGCCATATGTGGCTCGCGAGCCGTGGTTTGCCGACCACGGGTCTGGGTGAATGGCCATAGGTGAAGTGAGGCGAGCGAGACAGAGCGCCTGCTGGTCAGCTGGCAAGGTCCGCCGTGCGCTGGGCTAGGACCAGCGGTGGTGTTCGTGCACCCACCACCCTCCCTGGCCTTAGAAATTCCCCCGTTTGTGACAAAGCAAGAACGCATTCTAGCAATCCTGGCTTATAAATCAAAATAGTAATGATGGAAAGCTGTGGAATGTCCTGCCCTACCTTGGTAATAACCACATTCTCATGACCAAAAATCACTTCATAAAACTGATTTCAGTATTGAAAAAAAAAAAAAAAGGAAAGAGTTTGACTTTGACGTTAGAGCATTTCAGATTTGCATTCACAGTGTTTTCCTGCAGGAATGTTGAAGGATAAATAAAGCCCCGCCCCTGTGAGTGGCTGTCAGGGGGCATGGCACTGTGTCTTTCTTTGGTCCGGGTTTAGTTTTTGCTCAAGACGAACAGCCTCTCTCTCTCCCAAGTCCAGAGCCTTCTCGCTCTCCGTTTTGCAGGCCGAACGCTTAGGAGTGGGAGAGGCTGCTGATGCAGGTCGGCAGCTGGGTTACGTGAGCCAGGCCTGCGCTTTCCTTCTAGCCTGCGTGCACAGTCCCGTTTTAATTCTGTGCTTTCCATCTTCATCAGAGACATGAGTGATTGTGGTTCTGGAAATAAAAGTGGGTGTTTATGTATTAAACGTGGAGCCTCTTAGTGCGTCATATGGGAAGTTCTAGTGATCACACTAAAAATGATCCCACTTTTTAAAAAAATGTATTTTTTATTGATTTCAGAGAGGAAGGGAGAGGGAGAGAGAGAGAGAAACATCATTGATGAGAGACAACCATCGATCAGCTGGGTGCCTCCCGTGCCCACAACCCAGGCATGTTCTCTTGACCTGAATCGAACCCAGGACCCTCCAGTCCACAGGCCTACGCTCTATCCACTGAGCCAAACCAGCCAGGGCTGATCCCACATTTTTATCTCATGTCCATTGCACTATTCTTGTGAAATGTCAGAGTAATCCTCATGATGTATTAACTATTGGTTGTCTAATTGCTAACCTTCTAATTATTAAATGTACTTAATTATTCTTTATTTAAAGGATAAAAGAAACCTTCTACCCTGATATTCCTAATCCTGAAAACTGTAAAGCGTTACAGTTCCAGAAGGCCGTCTGTGAGGTAATCCTGTGTTTTGTTTTGTTTTTTTACATTTATCTTTGAAGTACTGGCGTTTGGCATTTTTAGTCTCTTGGGAAAAATTTTAACATGCAAGTGTCATCCTAAGTCAAAGAGATGGAAAAAACAAAGGGCTCTACCATCTGCTGAATTTCTACAGTTACTCCTTTTAAATCATGGGTGTCATGCTCTTTTCCCACCGCTGTTAATCGCAGGGAGAATACTGCTCTGGAGGGACAAAGTTAGCTTTGCTCTCGTAGGCACTACGGAACGCAGACATGGATGTCTCCAAGCAGAGGCGAGGAAATGCGTGCGATAACGTGGCTTTCCATGGGAGCCTTGGTGCTAGCCTTAACCTCTGCCTTCACGTTGATTTCCAGGGAAGCAGTGCCCTGAAGACACTGGAAATGAACCCCTGTACCCCGAACAGCGTCGAGGTCCTGGAAACGCGAACAGCGGTCCCGAAGATGGAGGACACGGAAATCGTTTCCCCCGTGGCCGAGCGGGCCCCGGACGGCTCCGAGGCGGAGCCCGAAAACCCCGTGGCCGTGTCCTACTGTCCCCCCGTCATTGAGGAGGAAATAGCGAACCCGGGGGCGGAGGAGGCCGCGGGCACCTCCCAGGTCGTGTACATCGACGTGCAGTCCATGTACCAGCCGCAGGCCCAGCCGGACGCGGAGCCGGACGCGGAGCCGGGCGCGGGCGGCGGCTACAAGCCCCAGATGCACCTGCCGGTGACCCCCGTCGGGGGCGCGGTGGCCGCCGCCGGGGACCTGGACAGCGCCGCGGGCTACCGGCCTCAGGCCAGCGTGAACGCCTGGACCCTGGTGTCCCCGGACTCGCCCCGCTCCACGGACAGCGGCAGCGACGCCGTGTCCTTCGGGAGCCCGTGCTCCATCAACTCCCGGCAGTTCCTGATCCCCGCGAAGGACGAGGACTCCCCGCCGTCCAACGGCGGAGGCTGGTCCTTCACAAACTTCTTCCAGAGCAAACCCAACGACTAGCGTGCCCGTCCCGCCCGCCATCTCAGTAAGCTCCCGCGGCCGGGGCTGCGGCGTGGGCCCGGGCACCGGGGGGGCCTGTGCCGTGGTGCCAGCGAGGCGGGCGTCGCCACGCGTGTCACACGGCAGCGGCCGCTGCCTTCCGTGTGGTCTACACACCATGGCAGAGGCACGCGGAGACTCGGCCCACGCAGCTCGGGGTCTGGAGCTGTTTGTGATTTGAGCCAAAGAGTCCTCCCTTCGTCTCCCCTCCGGAAGTATTTCAAGCCGAACGCTGCCCGGCCCACACGTGCAAAACGGATCCCCCAGCCACCGGCCCCTGCTCTGTCGTCCATGGTATTCTCATAGGGACCCTTGACAGAATCGCAGGCAGGTTGGCCGGCCAGGGGAACATCAGAGCCGCCGAGGGCGTGGGTCTGCCTGCCCTGGACTCCATCCTGGATGAACACCAAGCACAGATCTGAAAACCTTCAGCCCTTCTCCTCCCCCCTCTCCACGGCATGGACAAGTCCATGTCTTTGCTGAATGCGGCGACGGCGAGGGAGCGTTTCGTTTGGTCCGCGCGCTGGTGGCTGTGCCTGCTGTCTAAGGGGTGTCCATCACACAGTTTTCTCAGGGGTACACACTCGGAACAGGAGCACGACACTGAGCAGCCCGAGTCAGACTCGTCTGTCCCGCCTCCGGAGGGGATTCTCAGACTTCTCCGTTACTTTCCTAACTTTTCCGCTAGCTTCCCATGACGCACTTGATTGCCTGGTATTTAAAAACGTAAGTTCTTAAGACCAGAGATCCAGGTGGTGGTGGTGGTGGTGGTGGTTTTAATTGGGTTACTTGTTGTTCCACAGTGTCCACTGCATACATACATGAGCGGGTTCAGCATCACCCCTAACCATACGATGCCGGGGCTTCCCGTTTGAGACGGCTACCCCGCAGGGTCTGGCGGCGTCCGCTCTGCGGTGGTGACGGCTTCGGCTTCTCTGGGTCACCAGGCAGCGGCTGGGACACCTCGTGGCCGACGTTCCTTCTGATCGCGCCTCTTAGCTGCTCCTCTCCCTTATGTGATCATCCGTCCAGACTGTTCGATCTAGTCCCCCGTTTCTAAAATGATAAACTGAAAAGATCACGCTTCTTCCAGGGACAGTTACTCAAGGGCTCTTTAAGATGAAATGTCACAAGGTCCATGTGAGTGGACGGGCACCCCTGGGTTTACCGCTGCCCAGAGTCAGGGGTCCCCCGGCAGCCTCTGCCCGCCCTCGGGGTTCACAGGTGGTGTCTGGATTGGACTTGGTTCTCAGAAAAGCAGATGAAAAACTACAAAGTGTGTCTTGTTTTGTTCCTGCCCTCAGGTGGCCTATGTGTTTTATCTTTTGATACTTAAAAGAGTTCTTAAAATTTTGAAATATCTTAAGATATGCCTGTTTTGTTGTTTTGTTTTGTTTTCTCATCAGAGGTTCTGTGATGTATCTGTACATAATGGATCAGTTTGGGATTTTTCTAGCTCATAATGTATCTTTATAAAAACCATGTGGTGGCAAAAAGCCATGGGGTGACTAAGGGCAAGATCTGTGCAGGTGCTCAGTGTGGGAATCCTGATGTTAACTCCTGGCATTCCGCTGAGTCCCCGGGCTTCCGCGATATGTGGACGTGTGGAACGAAACAGAATTCTGTACATACACTAGGATATTTAAACTATGCAATAGTTCATAGAGGTCTTCATCAATGAGACAGGTATCACGTGAGAGCATGCCCAACAGAGTTTGCTCGGTCAGCCTCCTGCTCTTAGCGTTCACCCGAGACACTCATATCTGGGACTCCCCTTTCTCCCTCCCCCAATGCCGCTGTCCCCAACAGGATCCTGCCTCATCCCCCAAGAAACCCAGAGGTCCTTCCCTTTATCTCTGTAAGTGGGATCAGTGTTGTCTAAGGCTGGATTTTATTGCTCTAGACCAGTGGTCGGCAAACCGAGGCTCTCAAGCCATATGCGGCTCTTTGGCCCCTTGAGTGTGGCTCTTCCATAAAATACCATGGCCTGGGCGAGTCTGTTTTAAAGAAGTAGCATTAGAAAAAGTTTAAGTTTAAAAAATTTGGCTCTCAAAAGAAATTTCAGTCATTGTACTGTTGATATTTGGCTCTGTTTGCCGACCACTGCTCTAGACCTACTAAACTGTGATCCTGGGAAAAGATCAGAGTTGTGTGAGCTCTGTTACCAATACCGATGTGTTTCACCTGTGACCATCTGGACCCAGAGCCGTTCTAACTAACGATCCGTCTGTCTGGCTCAGGGTGACGAGCCCTGTGGCTCTCAGATCCTTTCCCTCTATCCACTGTGTTGTTGAAGAATGCTGCCTACAGAACACATGTTCACATCTCTCCCAACCGAGTTCAAGTCCAGCTTCCCTCATGGGGAAGGGAGACCCTGGTCGTCACAGGGATGGGATTTCTCTTGCGAGTGACCCCCTTAGGTAAACATTACTCCATATAAAAACACTCTGAGGAGACTTTGCTAGGCTTTTAACAATAGGTGGACTTTTCGTTTAAGATGATGTATCGCACGGAGTAGACCCATGTATAATTGAAGTCTTAAGTGTGTCGAGCCTGCCTGGAGGAGCCTGGCTTTGAGACTGTGGTCCTGAGAACCTGGATCGTTGAATGTGTGCTCAGGTGACAGAGGAGCTGTGTGCCTGCAGCTTAGACCAGAAGCAGCCGTTCATATAAAAGTTCAAGGGCCAAAGTGTCAGCCTCACTCTCCATACCAGCATTGATTTCCCGGCTCATGGATCAGAGGATTTCACGGAAAACGTCCTAAACTTTTGCTGTGGCAAAAAGCCCCACTCGTAAAACTTCATGCAACTTGTGTTCTTACAGGCCTATAATTTCTTAGTTTGTCTTCCTACCACCCATATTAAAGAACATTACTGTCCTTTCTGCTTTTGAATTAGATAGCAATTCAGTAACGGAGATGAAGAAATATTTTCTTCCAAAAAGAATTTGAAATAAGTTTAATGGTATTTTGAAATTGAAGTACTTCCCTACCATGTTGTTATGCAGAAAATGCCATCAGAATTTTCTACTGCTCAGGCACACGATCTGAGATGTTTTGCTTGTTAGTTTAAAGTAATTTTTGCTGTTTTCTGTTAAAATCTATGTCTTTTATGAAATCTTTCATCCTGCAAGTGTAAAATCGGGCATCTCATGAGTTACATGTGGGCGCATTAGCTAACTTCAGATGCGAGGCCCATCGTGAAGGTTTAGTGAATGATTTCTCATTGACTGAGTCCCACTCCAGACTAGGCTGTTTCCAGGGTTCTCCTGAAGGGCAGTGTTGTATCAAGCTGTAACGTGTAGATCCAGTGCTTTAGAAGTGGCTTTGGGAAAGACTCAGGCAAATGTATCACCAGAGAGCGCATTTCCCCCTCATTTTCAGTGTCCCAGTCCTTTGTCCGTGGTGGGTATTCGACTTGGGACGTGTTTGTACCCACCAGCATGTGTTCCATTGAACCAACAATGCATTGATGTGCAGCTTCATGGGTGAAGTGAGCGCTCGTTCTCTTGATAAACTATTTCTCTGCAGCGTTTATTTTAAACCATTATTTTCTGCTGAAACAAAAGTTTCATGGTACCATGCCCATCTTTTTTAAGAACATTTTTCACTCGAGGATTTGCGTCCAGCCTTACTGGAAATGCATCGTTGAGGCATGACCTTTGAATGTCATTGGGAAGTTGGTTTGGTGTTGGTCTGCTTCTATCTTTGTGGGTTATGTGCCCAGGGGATGATCAGTGCCAGTGTAAGGATTAAGAACAATCCACGTATCAGGCTTGATGGTGTGCAGTAAGATTTAGGGGGTGTGGTTTGATTGAGAAGACATGCAAATCCACTGAATGATGATACTGAGTTAGGACAGGATTCTATTCTTTTTAACCTTAAGTAGTGCTTGTTTCTCCCTGTTATGAAGAATGTTAATACCTTGGATTATAAGTGTCCTGGTTATACAGAGTTTACCTATGCAAGACAAATTCTAACTGTGCAACACTTTAATGAAAATTAAAAGTAGTGTTTTAAGAAGGAAATCTGAATGTTTTTATGTGCAAGTGCCTACCTGAAGAACCATAGGAACAAAAAAGTTTAAAAACTCTTAAGTAACTATAACTGATGGAATATTAACCAATTACAAAGCAGTCATAACTTACATTACTTTTTGGTTCCTATAACTCAATACCATAAAAACTAAGATATGTGAATGGGGAAATTAATACTTAATTGATAGGGGAATTGATTTTATTACATTTGTATATTTATCTCCTAAGATTGCCTTTGCAGTAGCCAATCAGAGCTTTTAAAAATAAAAAATAACAACATAGATCATATCTGCTGCACTTCAGCAAAAAAATACTTTGTACACCTGATTGAATTGCTCACTTAAAATTGTTGCATTCCTTATATACATTTTCCCCCTTATGTTATTTTCTTCACCATTTCTCCCCCATATATTCTCTTTGACCTCCATTATATACATTTAAAATGTACTTCTCTTTATAATTACTCCATCTTAAATGGTTAACTATCAGTTTATGAACTCATTATTTTTCCTATGCATTCCAAGGGTGTATTATAAAAAAAAAAAAGAAAAAAAAACAACAGAAGATTTCTGTGTGGTAATACAATATTTTGCTAAAATGTGAACAAGTTAGTGTTTAGTTTGACATTAGTATTGTGACATTTGCAACTGATCATAGAAAACAATACTGAATAATGATTTCCATAATTTTTTTAAAATAGTCTGCCCCCAGTTTAATTCCAAATACTCTTCTCCATTACTTATGATATATCCTCCTATTTAGGTTTTTTTCCCCCCCCCTACATAATGTTTAGGAAAATGTGTACACATTATGAATAAAAGGCAACACACGGAAATCTTATTCCGTTTATTGTTGTGGAAAGGTAGGTAATATATGATGCCTGAGATTTGTTTTTATCCCATTATTTCCACCCAAAAAGAACATGG